CCTTGATTTTACTCTTTTCTTTCTTCACGTTTTTTTCCGTTTGCACTTCATTTGTTTTGACCCTATCAACTTCATTCTAGGGGCTAACTCCCAAGTGTTTGACTGAAACAGACTAATTGTTAACATCCACTTATATAACTCCATGAGCCAAAAGATCTTGGACTTGTCATTTGAAGTTACCACAATTCTTGATAGAGTGTCATTGGGCTCCGATATGATATTCACAAGACACTTTCTCATTATACCAACTCGGATAAAGGGGTAACAAAGGCTTAGCCAGACGTGGAGTGATTAGCTGGGATTCAAGCAACTTGGGATATAATTTTCTGTATGAAAATGAATGAAAATTGAGTATAAGCTCTTTTGACTTCATTTTCTCTTTGCCACTACTATGATCATCTTGAAGACATAGTGAATGATAATTGAGATATTCGTTTTGAAGGTTCAACTTTTGACTAACATCTGTGGGAGACATTGGCTTGCAGATCTCCCCTTATCAATAAGTTTTAAGCTTTCGGGTAGTATTCCATCTTCAAAGTATAACAACCCTTCCATGGTTAGGTTTTGAACATTTAACCTCATAACCGCACAACTTTCCATAAAGTGGCTAAAATCTCCATAATGGTAGCTGCATGAATTTTGATTCCTTGCCAATCTTGACGCAAATAAGTATTAGGCCTTGGAGGAATATGTACTAGAAGGCAAGTTTTGAAGAGAAATGGTAATAAGTTTGATTCCTCTTTTTATTCTTATTCCTTTTAGCCTTCTTTAGATTCATTTGAATTACCTCTATGTCTCTCTTCTTAGAGTGAGACTCAACTTTCATGTTACAAGTTTCAATCTCAATTTTCGCTTTTCCCAGCATGATCTTTGTCACATTTTCTAAAATCATACCCGATTTTTGGAGTTGACTTGGATTACCATACTTCCCAACAAGCTCTTCATCTTCTGTCATCATATTAGCTGCGCAACCAACATTCAGATTTTTAATCAAAGTCTTCATCTTTTCTTAGCAAAAATAATTTAATACGACTCAAAGATGATACTGAAAAATAAAGCATACAAAGGCAATTACGATTCCTAACAGCAAGTGTGCCTCGGAACTGATATCCAAACAAACAACCTAGGATGCTTTCCAAGGGTAATGTGTCAGACCCACAAGAGGAAGCTCAATGTTCCCCATGAGGTGTGACGTTTCCCCTATTTAGGTAAGTTGGAATTGAGCTCAGGTTTAGAGCTATGATATGCAACAGTCCTAAATATTCACAGAAGTGTAAGCATTAACCATAGAGAATTGTTTTTGAAATAACATAATGAATTGTAAATTAAATAAATTCAAACTCAAAATTTCTAAATTCCAAATGTAGGGTAATCAACTTGTGGCTTGACTCTCGATTTCTTTTAGAAAACAAAATGTCCCCAGCGGAGTCACCAAGCTGTCGACACCGTTTTCGCCAGGTAGGGGAATAAAATGGTACGACTTGGAAGTTTTTCTTTGAAAAGATTTTGAAATGTTAGAAGTCACCACCAATCATTTTAAGGTGCGACCGAGACACCATAAAAATCGAGTGATTTTAATAAAACATTTTATTTTTATCAAAATACCAAGTTTTAGGGTCTATGAAAACCAAAAAATAGGTTCGGGAGTCAGTTACACGTGGGGAATGATTAGTACCCCCACAGTACCCAAAAATTGGTACCTATTTGATTACCCCATATTTAGAATTTAAACTTCTGAGTTCGAACTTTATCTAATTTAAAAATCATTATGGATGCAAAGTTGAAAATGTATTCATTTATTAAAGCCAAGAACATTCGCCCCTAACATGAATACGGGAGATCAACTATTGTGCCCAATAACCAGACATTGTCTCGATTTTAGAAATCATGATGCGGTCTTGAAAAAGATGTCAACCTATTTCGGGAATCACCAGTAGTCACCCCCTAAGCATACTTGCAGGAGATATACTATTGATTCCCTAATAAGTGAACATTGCCTTAGATTTTAAAATGATGCAATCAAATAGTTTATTATTAACCCTAATTAAACTAAGAGTAGATTAAGACTTTCTTTATCTTAGAGTGTCAAATTATGAAAATTAAAGAACCTAGGGGCTCAAACCTAAAAATGTAGGCTCTAATATTAATCCTACTTAATTTTAACCAGCTATTGAATAATTGATATGGTCTCTTGAGCATTTAGGCTAGGGCAACTCATATCAGTCCCTAAATTAATAGGACTAAATTGAAATCTAACCTTAAGTGGGGGCTCTAATTGTTAACGTAATCAATTATGTCAAAAAGGATAATCTAATTAAAATTTAAGGGTTAAAATGTGAAAAGTCTAAAGTATAGGGACTAAAGTGTAACTAAGGCTCTATTTATTAGTTGGATTAATCATTTTAATTGAAAAGTCAATTTAAACCCTTGGACATGAAAGCAATGATCAAATTAGAATTCCCCTATTCTAAAGTTCAAAGACTAAATCCAAAAAAAAAATCGAAATTTAAAGTAAAGTAACATAGTACTAATTACGCAAACTTGAAGTCATAAACAAAAACAAATTACCAAAAATTATGAAACAAGTAAATGGCAAAAAAAATCAAGATACATAAACAAATAATAAATGCAAAGAAATAAAAAAGGATAACTAACATAAAGAGAAATAAACTTAAACTAAATTAAAGTTAACAGAATATAAATAAATACTAAACGGGAAAGAAACATAATAAACATGAATAAGTTAATTTTAAAAAATTAAATGGAGACTAAATTAAGGGAAGTAATTAAAATTAGGATGGGTAAACGGACAAATTAAGAGGAAATGTTAAAAAATGGAAAACAAAATCAATTAATTAAATCAATTTATGGTTGGTTGTCCCTTGTTCCCATATGTAATGGGGTAAGGGGGAGGTAAGATAGTAGGCTACCCCCACCACCAGATTGAGAGCAGCTTCCGTAGAAGACCTCCGAATTATGAAATGCCCTCCGTGGGACTCGATCCCACGACCTCAAGGTTAAGAACCTTGTGCTCTACCAACTGAGCTGGATAGTCATCTCATTAATTTTAAATCAATTTAGGAAGCAAATTACGAATGGCATACACTAAAAATAAGACTAAAATAATAATAAATTACCATAAATAAAAAATATATACATTTGTAAACACAGACACAAAAATATATTATAATATAATACTTCATGTAATTATCACAAGTCTATTCAAAGAATGTATCCTAATTCAAACCTTAAATATAAAACAAAACATAATATTCAATTACCCAAGTGTGAAAACACACCTAAACCAGGGACTAAAGAGTGATTTTTCGTTTTTTAATAAGCCACCTATGCAATAATAAACAAAAATGCAAAAATTACACAATTAGACCAATAAGATTTTAAAAAAAATAAATAGTCACTACGTGTGACCATAATGCAAAAACACGCTAAAACTAGAGGGACTAAAAAGTAAATATACCAACAATATATAACATGCATAAAAAAGGGGAAATAACAATATAGGTGCAAATAAAAGAAGGGCAAATAACAAATTTGGTCTTCGTAGGTGACCAAAGGGCAAAAACACAACTAACTATGGGATACTTAAACGTAAATAACTCTTAAACTCCTCTATAAACACACTTTTTTTTAATTTTAAACCTATTAAAAAAACAACCTAAAAGCACTCTCTCAACTCTCCCTTCTCCCTCTCGGCCGTCCCCCCTACCGACCTGTCACGCCAATGTCTCGACTGCCGTTCCGACCACCACACACGATAGTCGGTGCTCCTAAACCTACCCCAAACGACACTATTCTCTCCCATCTACACTCCTAAGCCCCGATCTGGGGTTAAATCACCAAATACTACTCCTAAACACCCCAAAAGGCCCTATAAACTCTTCGGCTTCCCTACCTCCGGTCACCGCGTAGACTACCTAAAATATAGATAAAAAATGAACCCCATATTCACCCTCCCTACTCCGATGAAACCCACCAAAACAGGTAAAGTTCTCTACGTTTCTTTTTTCCCTCTTTTTTTTATGTACTTCGAAATATTCTGGAAAAATATTTTTTTTTTACCTTAAAAAAAATTGTTTTCTATTGCTTTTCTGAAAAACCAAAAGGGGTCCCCTTTTACAACTTTTTCCTTCGGGTTTTATACCCGAAATTACATAGTTTTTTTCAATAAAAAATCTAATCCTACTTGCTTCTGACAAATACTGTTTGTGATGAATTTTTCTTTTAATGCCCCATATTTTCGAGCTTTATTGAGATCTCTGATGAGATTTGATTCGGGTAGGCTTGATGGCAACAACGATCAACGCGACTGGACTCGGACAAACTTGAGCGGAAACTGTTGGAACCTATCTTAGCAGCGACAACTTAGGATATATTAGGGTTAGGGTTGGATGTTGTTTAGGTTAGGGTATTGGGCTAGTGTGTTTTAGTTTGGGCTCAGATTTGGGTTTGTAACTGGGCCTAGTTTTGGGTGTTGGGCATTTTGGGTTTGTAATAATAATATATTTTTTTAAAATAATAATAATAATAATAATAATAATGTAAGGTAATGGATGAAAAATGGTGACTACACATGCCATATGTGTGAACTGATGATGCTTCGTTGAGGAATATATTAGGACAATAAATAATTAATTTAGGACACATGCTTTATTGAACCAACGGAACATATTCATCTTATTGTTTCCATTCTTTATTTTTATTGAAATATCCATATCCGGCACCCACATCCAATGTTATATCAAGTCCTGATATAGGATATAGGGATATGCCGCTCTCAAGAAACATATTCGGATATAGGTACAAGAATAATGCTCCCAAGACCCTCTAAATATATGAAAATCTTCAGAATAATAATAAAAAAATGAACATATCATGTTGAACAAAAAACCATGTTTGACGCTACACCTGAATCTGTGATATATGAAAATATAATAAGTTATAATCAAATTAGAGAAAAATTGTAGGATGCAGTGGGTTACCTAAGTCCAAGGCTTCAATTTCATCTTGGTGGAAGCAGTTATAACCTTTTGTTTTCTCTTTCTTGCTCAAACTTGAGTTGATCCTCTCCACGGCTGCAAGTAGATCCTGAAAGTCCACAAATAAATGAACACGTTCTGTATTGGATGATTACGAATGAGAATGTTGCAGTTATGCTTTTCCTTATAAAGAACAGGTAATTAAGAATTTAAGATTAAAAAAAATCTGCAGGATTTGGTATTCAATATATTTCAGATTTTAAGCACCTATGGAGAGATCTTTAAATCAGAAATCAGCATTCTAATACCTTAGCTAACCCAAGTCAGGTGCATCCATACAACAAAGAAATAATATAAGCATCACAACAGGAGCGTGAACATACAATTCTTACTGTTCGAATAGATTTTCTATTTTTTGCTCTGCCCAGTTCTTCATCCTTCATCCCATGATACATTTTCTTGGCACAATGTCAAGAAGCAATAGTATCAATTCAAGAAGAGGTTGTAATTTTTTTCTTTTACCATTTTAATTCGGCTTTTCCAATGTTCCAAGTTTTTATCATGCCCTCTTCAAATGTGCAGAGTTTTTATAAAACCATCCTGATGTAGCTCTAACATAAGGGCAAAACTCTAACATAGTACATGAAATTTAAAACATAGTACATGAACTACATACCTCCCACGATGATAGATTTGTCATATACGAAGGAAGACTTTCATAAGCATCCTTAGAAACTTGTAACACTGGCCCTTTAACTTGAGCTTGAACGTGATTTGGATCCTTTTCCTCTTCTGCAATGTAACATGGTGTAAAATAAATGACATAATATTGATTACAACCCGCTATTAGTCAGTCATAAACCCAATAAATGGATGGTCCATGGCAACTTAAAAGTGTAGTAAAACTCAGTAATTTCTACCACTATTTACTTCAGTTGTGTCTGTAATAGGCTTATCTGTAGCTTGTTTTGTCTCCATCGTACCTTCAATTGAGGGTCAGTAATAGTTTGTAAAGGAAAGAAAAAGAGGACCAACAAAAGAGCAAGTGGTCCTTGTACAATTAATATAAAGAACTTTCAAGACTCTGAAAACTCACTTCATGTTTTCTCCAAAAGATAAATCAGAGTGATCAACCTTTTGATTAGCTGCGGAGACAAAAATGGCAATAGTAGAAGCTCATTCATATTCTGAAATGGTAAAATTCCAATCCATCTTCTATAGATTGAAAGTGGGTATTATTTAACTCGAAACCCCTCAAAAAATGATGACAATTCATTTCATCTTCTACGGATAATTACAACAAATAATGATTTAAATAGTGTAAGGAAAGGGGGAAAGTAGGAAAGAAAGAGCAAAAGTGCAAACCTTGATATGCTAAAGTGGCAAGACAAACATCAGAGAGCCCGAAATTCTTTAGACTCAGCGATTCATCGAGACTACAAGAAATAGCATCAAGGGAAAACATCAATTCCTTTTTCATCAGTTCTTAATAAAAGAATATTTTATTAATTTAATGTACTATTTTATGATATAAGTTTTGCACTAAACGTGATAATTTTACAATTCTACTATCGTGATTTTTAATGCATTAGTCAAATTCTTAAGGAGGGGTAAAATTTTTGCAAATTAAGTTTTAAAAAAGTTGAAGGATACAATGAAGTATCTTCTTCAAAGCTGAACTCGTTACGGCTGAAGTTATTTCTTTTGAATCCAAAATATCCTCTTCCTCTTCATCTTCAATATCAACTTCTACTTACATAAAAAAACAAGTGAGGAATAAAAGTAACTGAAAATGTTGATACATACGGGGAGTATAACCCAGATGTTGCGGAAGACGGCTATCGGATAGAGTAAAAACGCAACTGATAATTTGAGAAAATAAAAATTGAAGATAAAAGAGACACAAAATTTACGTGGAAAACCCCTAAATAATATAGGGTAAAAACCACAGACAACGGTAGAAGAATTTCACTATGAGAAAATAAGAATTACAACTTCTCTCGATCTATCAAGAAGAAAACAATGATAATTCTCTCTTGATAAAAAGGAGAAAATAACTTCAAGAAACTCTTTAAATTCTCTCTAGTATTGGAAGAAAGCTAGAATGCTTTGGGATGGTTTTGAAGCTAAATGGGCTAGGGTATTTATAGCTAAATGTTAAGGACTTAATCTTGTAAATACCCTAAAGTTTAGTGATTAAATTTTGTAATTATACCTTACTAAAATCAGCCAAAGTTGGCTGCCCACTTAGACTAAATTAGCAGCCGGCTGCTGCCACTATAATTGACAAAGCCAAATTTGACTTTTCAACAATCTCTCACTTGAAGATTTGATTAGAAAAATAATATCTTCACACCATTCTTTTTACCTTGTATCATCATGTTACTTACGTATCTGACAGGCCACAAGAGGATCGACACCAGGTAAATTTATCAGCATTGATTTCTTTCGTCATGAAATTTGCTATGTTGTCTTTGGTATGGATCTTTTGCATATCTACCGTCCCTTCTTCCACTTTTTCTTGAATGAAATGGTATTGAACTCGTATGTGCTTTGTCCTTGAATGAAATGCTGGATTCCTTGCTAGATGCAAGGCGCTTTGACTGTCACAAAATAGAGAGACATACTCTTGATTGTGCCCAAGCTCCTCCAATAACATCTTCAACCAAATTGCTTCTTTACTGGCTTGTGTAGCTGCTACATATTCTGCCTCTGTTGTGGATGTAGCCACAACTGACTGCAATTTTTAAACCCAGCTTACAGCTCCACTAGGAATTTTGAACACATATCCTGTAGTAGATTTGCTTTTATCCAAATCCCATGCATAGTCAGAATCTACATACCCATTGATTAGTAAGTTTGATCCTCTGTAATATAATGCAACATTTGAGGTCCATTTGATGTATCTCAGGATCCTCTTTACTGTATTTCAATGCTCTTTGCCTGGATTTGTCATGTACCGACTAACCACTCCCACTGCTTGTGCAATGTCTGGTCTTGTGCATATCATAGCGAACATTAAACTTCCCACTACTGATGCATACGGTACTCGAGACATCTCCATCATCTCTTCTTCACTGCTAGGACTCATACTGGAGGATAATTTGAAGTTAATAGGAAGAGGGATAGAAATTGGCTTACAATCTTGCATGCTGAATCGTGAAAAAATCTTCTTCAAGTAATTCTTTTGTGAAAGCCAAATCTTCCTATTACTTCTGTCTCGGTGAATTTGCATCCCTAGAATCTTGTTTTCTGATCCCAAGTCCTTCAATTCAAATTCCCTAGCCAGTTGTGCCTTCAATTCGTCAATATGATCTTTGTTGGGTTCTGCAACCAACTTGTCATCCACATACAACAGTAATATAGTTATCACCAGACCTCTTGAAATAAACACAAGGGTCTGCATTAAGTCTGTTGTATCCAAGGAACATAATGAAGGAATCAAATCTCTTATACCAACACCTCGGCGCCTACTTTAGAGCGTACAGAGATTTGTTCAACTTGCAAACCAAGTTCTTATTTTCTTTTTCTTCAAAACCTTCAGGATGGAGCATGTAAATCTCTTCTTCAAGATTTCCATAAAGAAAAGCTTTTTTAACATCTAGCTGCTCTAGATGTAAGTTCAATGTAGCACACATTGCCAATACTACTCGAACTGTTGTTAGTCGAACCACAGGAGAAAAGATTTCATCAAAATCAATACCTTCTTTTTGAGCATATCCTTTGACCACCAGTCTTGCACGATACCTCTCCACTTGATCGTCACCATTTCGCTTGATTTTGAAGACCCATTTGCTACCAATTGGTTTCCTTCATTGTGGTAGTGGCACAAGGTCTCATGTATTATTTTTATGAATGGCTTCAATTTCTTCTTGCATTGCCATTATCCACAGTGAAACATCTGAGTTGTTTATTGCCACCTGGTATGTTGATGGCTCACCATTCTCTGTTAAAAGGTAGTATGCAATATTACCTTCTATAACATAATCGGAGTGACAATTGGGACGTCTTCTAACACGATCTGATTGACGAGTTGTTGGAGCTTCAGAACTCTCTGGTTCTTGTTCATCATGTGTTGGTTCTGCTTCAGAAGAATCTCCTTGTTCAACCTCATTTTCCATATGTATCTGTGTAGTCTCTGACTTTTCAGCGCTATCATCATCTTCTTTTCTTTGTAGCTTATCTTCTACAAAGATAACATCCCTGATGATGATCACTTTGTGGGCAGTGGGATCCCACAAGCGATACCCCTGTACACCATCAATATACCCCAAGAATTTGCATTTCCTGGATTTTGGATCTAGCTTTGAAATTTTTTTGGAGTTGTACATCACATACACAATACTTCCAAATACATGGAGGTTTGAATAATCAGCAGTTTACCAGTCCACATTTCCATTGGTGTCTTCAGCTCTATTGCAGTTGATGGAGCTCGATTCACCAAATAACAGGTGGTATTGACTGCTTCTGCCCAGAATGATTTTTCTAGGCCTGCATCTCTAACATTGCTTTTGTTCTTTCTAACAAGGTTCTGTTTATCCGCTCTGCCACTCCATTTTGTTGAGGAGTGTTCGCCACTGTGAACTGTCTTTTGATGCCTTCTTTCCTGCAAAAGTCATCAAATTCTTCGATTGTGTATTCTCCTCCATTATCTGTTCTGAAACACTTGATCTTATTTCCATAATCAAGTTCCACCCGCGCTTTGAATATTTTGAAAGTTGAAAACACATCTGACTTATTCTTAATAGGGTACACCCAATATCTCCTGGAGTAGTCATCAATAAATGAGACAAAATATTTTGCTCCACCTAGGGATGTAACTGGTGCTTGCCATACGTTAGAATGAACCAATTCTAGAACACATTTGCCTCTAGAATTTGATGTGTTGAATTTCAACCGATGCTTCTTACTTGTTATGCAATGCTCACACAAATGAAGTGATACCTTTGTTAAGCCTGGAAGTAGCTTTTTCTCCACAAGGATTTTCATTCCTTGTTCTGACATGTGTCCAAGTTTCAGATACCATAACATTGCAGAATCTGAACTACATGAGGCAACGAAGGCTTCTACTTCTAGCAAAGTCTCTCCCTTCAGCATGTACAAGTTTGCAACTATCTTTTCACCTTTCAACACCACAAGCGCTCCACGGAACATCTTCAATTTGATGGTTCCCACGCCAACGATCTCCAAGGCATGATCATTGTAACTATAGACAGATCCTCCTGAGACAGGTTCATAATGATGGAACCATTCTCTTCTTGAGGTCATGTGATATGTTGCTCCCGAATCAATGAGCCATATATCTGCATATCTCTTTCTACCTTCCACGGTGGTTGACGTTTCACAACATAGAGCATCTCTATCATCAGAAGTGTTTGCGGTATTGTCTTGTGGATTGGAGTTTTTATTTAGACTCCAACAATCCTTCTTCAAGTGACCCTTCTTTCCACAGTTGTAGCACTTTAAATTCTTCTTGCTTCTCGACTTTGATCTACCATGTTTGTGACTGCTACTTTGGCCACGTTCTGTTGATCTTCCTCTCATCGTTGTCAACGCTTCTGTTTGTTGCAGATTTACTTATCTGTCTTCCTTGTTCTTGCGCCGATTTTCTTCTTGTAGAATAGCAGCTGCAATGTCATCGAAGACTAGAGTGGTGACATTACTGTTTGTCAAGTTAATGATGAGTTGATCATACGAATCAAGTAGACTTTGAAGTAGAAGTTCAGCACGTTCTTGTTCTTCTATTGTACATCTTAAGGATGTAAGCTGAGAAAATAACGTGTTCAATGTGTTTAAGTGCTCCGTCACTGAAGTAGATTCTGATATCCGGAGAGTATACAATTTCCTCTTAAGGAAAATTTTATTGTGCAACGATGTGGCCTCGTACAATTTGGTGAGATGATCCCATATCTCCTTAGCTGTCTTTTTCTCTTCGATGCTTGACAATACTTCATCTTCTAATGCTAGATAAAAGTTTG